TGAAGTTGCGCTGCCACACATCTATTGATATTTGTGAAATTTGCGAATCTGCTTTGTTTTTTTTTGCCAGATCAACAAAACGAAGCGTGACGGACGGGGTTTGAATGTAAAAAACAATTAAACAAAACTTTAAAGTTTACACTTAAATCATATAAAATATTTTCATAATTAAATAGAAATTTTAAATTATGATTTAAGTATTGTCATTGTATGTTTTTAGTTAAACTTCTGAAAAAATTTGTATACAATTTGGCAACTTTGGCAATTTAAAAATCTTGTTTACTTTGTTAAATCATTTTCTAACTTTGTTGTGCGCCCCTCTAATTATATAAATTTTTTTTTGTGTCTAAAACTTTAAGGTTTAATAAATATTTTGGTTAAGCAAGTTCGCAAAGAATTTCTCCCGCTGAAATATTTTTTGTTAAATGGCTAAACTATTCATTAGCCAGTAGTATAAATTGGAATACAAATTTGTAAAATCATTTTAAATGTCCCAAATTTCTAACCCGAATTGGAGCCACCTTTTTCGCTCCGTGCAGTTCCTCTGCAATGTGTGGACGTGGGAAAGTTCGCCCACGTTTTTTTTTTTTGGATTTATACTGTGAGATCTTGGAGCTAGGATCAGAGTCCGATCCGAAAAAATGCCCAGTTGTGCTTGGCTGGATCAGTGAAAGCTCGCATGCGGCATGTGGCATGTTTTTCGGTGCCTCTGGTCTCCGAGCTGGCTGCTCTGCATTTGTAATTGCTCGGGTTGCTTTCTGGCCGGATATCGCAGGTTAATTGACCGAAAATAAAAAACAAAATCATCATAAAAACCCGATTTGCATGTTTCGGTGGCTGGTGGCTGGTGGCCGTTGGCCAAATGTGGTCAAAAGCCAAATATGTTGGGCCAAAATATTTGCCCAAAATATACGAGAATTTTGAAACATTACGCCAACGCCAGGGCAATAATTTAAGGTCAATTGGGCCTACAAAGCTGGCTCTTTACTATATATAGAAGGGAGCTCCAAATAACCATTCTTCGAGTTACTTTTTGTTATTTTTGACTTTTGATTTTTAGCAGCCCGCATTCACGAGCCATTGAAACACTCGAGAGACCCCAAGTTATAGATGGATGGATGGATGGATGGTCTTGGATTTGGATTTGGCTGTGGGTGTATTTGTTTTTTTTTTTCATTTGTTGTGTAGAAAGCAACGAGCAGAGCAGCAATAACCCGTTTAAGTCTCATGAATAGTTATTTCAACATTAACCGTAACAAAAAATGCTCAGCAACAAAATTAAAAGTACCTTTTGCCATGCAAGTTATTAATGAGTTATCTGGCTTGGTAATTGTTTCTTTTTTTTTGCACTTTTTGCCTTTCCCGCTTTCGAGATAAGTGGTAGAAAAAATCATATTTTTAAAGGGGGGGGGGGAAATGCAAAAACACGAATGAATAGCAAATGAATGGTGAGAAAATCTGTAAGCGAAGTGAGTAATTAAATGCAATGTGATAAGAAGGTGAACAAACAACTTAATAAATGTATAATAAGTAAAAGAAATCAACTAATTTTATAGGTAAAACACAAGAAAAATGCAAAATGACTTTATAAATGTAATAAACACATAGAAAACTTAAGGGTAGTTGATAATAACATCAATATAAAACCTCAAGCTATGTATATAGTAAGAAAAAAGCATAAATTAAATTCAAATTTAATCGATTAAAAAATTATGTTATTTAGTTTCTGAATAAAAGACACAAGTACAAGTACAAGTATTTATAGACATTAAAAGCTTGATTAAAGTCAACCGCATTTAATTATTGTTTTGTCCTTAAATAATCCATTAGATTTAAATTAAGCTTTAAGATTTTGTGCGAATAATTATGTGAGTAATAGTTAAACAAGATATTGTTTATGTGTTTGGTAAATCACGTCCTGATTAAATAAACTTGTTCTTTTTATGCCCATTTCGCGTTAACTGCCAATTAAGAAATCATTAATGTAATCTATTGGCTAACGTTTGCATACAAAGTGGAAACTATTTGTTTGAATACATAATGATTGCAACACGATTCAATCAAGTGAATCACAAGAAATAACTCTATGTGTGTGCGAGTAGAAAAGGCAGATAGAATGGATAATAGAAAAAACAAGGGAGTAACATTTATGAGAAACATAAAAATCTTGATGAGGGCGTGATATTTTTCATTAGAAACGTGTACATACCTATTTTTGTGTTACCTTAAAACAAATTACCCACTAGCATGGTTCAAACAATAGATACACAGCACAATTAATATTAAATCGAACCAAAACAACGCAAAATCCGAAAGGTCGCGAAAATAAAAACAAATAAATGAATATAATAAATTTCTTGTTGACCCAATAATTTTAACCCCATTTCTCAGCAATTTAACCAATCAATCATTGTCAATAGTTTTAAGTGTTGAATAAATAATACGAATGAAGAAATTTGTATTTATTTATTTATACTTACATAACAATTTTAAAAGTATAATGATTTATTAGGAGAAAACTAAGGTATTTCAGTTTAGGCTTAAGTACCATTTTAAACACATGTGTATTAATAAGGTTTAATATAAATTAAACATTCTTTAGCCAGAAATATTTTAAGTGCAATATTGTTTAATATATAATATGTATATAGAATGTATAAAAATGTATGATGATATACGAATGTCATTTGAAAGTAAATTGTAATTTAATTAAAACTTTTGATTTGCACCTGATTTCAATTGATTTTCTCAAAGAAATCGCAATTTTCTCAATGGCACTCGCCGGCAATGATGACCTGGATCTAAGTGGGCATAGCTATATGGCTCTGGCCACATTTGTGGCCCAGTCACTCAGGCCAACTCATCCGGCGGCTCTAAGCCACGTTATCTTCTTTCACTTGAGCTTCACCTACATTGGAAGGCCGAACGGACGGCGGACGGTATCAAAAATGATCATAAATCTTTATAACCTGTATGCGCTAGATTTTCACCAACTGGCTTTTGAAACTCTCTTCTGGGTTCTGCAAGATAAATGCCACCGCCACCGCCATCGCCACCGCCACCACCCCCTTCCTGTTTAAGCTGAAAAGTGAATTTCTGCTCTTTAGCCTTCAGCCTCCGCCGACAATCGGTTGACTCTTTTTTTTTCACCACGACCACCCCCCCTACCTTATTTTTTATGGCTTTTTTTTTTGTTTTCCTGCCAGATGACTTTTTTTTGGATTTATTTTTTTGCGCGCACTTGGCCTTAATTGCGCATGCGCGCGCACTTTCAATTCCTTTCGGACCCGCAACAAAGAAAATGAAATAAAACAAAACAAAATCGTGTGGCAAATTGTGGCCGAGGCAGAAATTAGATTTCAAGCGCGGCGATAATGATGCGGCAGCGTAATAATAATTTTTAAGGGGACTTGAGGAGGGGCCAAATCCGAATGAAAATTGCTCTCGGCCCAAAGCTAAGTGCACGGCGAAAAAACCTGGTTTTAATAACTCAAAATTACCCATCAAATGTTAAACATTTATGATTTAAATATTTCCCTTACAGACACCTTTTTTTTCCACGCTTTTAAATAAGCGTATAAAAAGAATATTAAGTGTATTAGACAGAAAGTACTTGGACAAATAATTGAAATTTATTACAGATTTAAATAATAAATTGTGTAGTCTGATATATATTTTATTTTATTTATTTTTATCTATTTCCTTTTTATTTATCTATTGGCCAATCATTTGCAAGTCATATTGACAATATGATTTAATTGTTATGATTAGCTTTAAAATCTATTTAAAGAACTGATTTTTGCTTCCTGAAAATAAGCCTAAAAATCTGTAAGTGCAGCCTTAATATTGCTAAGTGTTTTGTTTTATTAACATTAGACCATATTTTTCTCTTAAGAAAATATTACATAAAATAGTTTTATTCCGTCTCAACACTTTAGAGGTTTTCTGGAAAAAAAAAACGATTTAAGGCCAAGTGCAACTGCCCAACCCAGAAAACAACTCGGCCAGGTATCAGACCATTATCCCCTCTAGAAGCCCAGTTCGGATAGGTCAAGTATATGGACGTCAGCCGCGATTTTTACTGCACTTTATGGGCTTTACGAGTGCGCCGAGTGGCAGTGTATGAGGCGCAAAAAATTAAAAACACACCGGAGCTCGAGAAGAGAAAAGAGCTCAAAGACGACAGATACTCGCATATTTCTAGAGGCTGACCAGAGCATGTTTTCGTTTTTTATACTTTTTTCCCCAGTTTTGTATATATTTTCTGTAGTTTTTTTGTTTTTTGTGTCTTTTCTTCGTTTTGCCAGTGGGGCCAACAGGTTCGTTGGAAGTTGGGAAAAAGTCAAACGGCTCAATAATCGAAGACGGCTCAGAGTTTTTGAGTCCGCGACTCCGAACTCCAACTCTTCGAGTCCGGATAAATGAGGACAACAACAGCGACAACTTTAATGAGGTTATGCCTAGGTGTGCGTGTGTGTGTCCCAGCTGGGATAGGCACACAGAGAGAAAAAGTTGTGGGACCCATTTTAAAAGAATACTTGTTCTAACTCGTTTTTGGCAAGTAATTACAGTCTGCAAGAGCTAGTACTCTATTTATATTTCATAAATTAATTTTTAAGTTAATTCTTACAATCAATGTTTCATATTAAATTAACAAATTGTTTATACTAGTTAAGTAAATTGAAGATATGGAGTTAATATCGCTTTGGTTTTGTTTTAATGCCAAATTAAATAAATTTAAACTGGTTTCGTTTTAATTTCAAAGTTATTCAAATTTATATAATATTAGGCAAGCCTTTTATAATGTTTAAAAATGATTTCTCCTTAAAACCCATAATTATTTCCTCTGCACAAAAGTCAAGTTCGATATTTGCTGCCCTCCAAATGCAATGACAAAAAATCAGCGCATTAAATAAACCAAAAATCAAGCAATACGAAACAGAAAACCAAAATATTAAACCCAGCGAAAGAACAACAAATGAGTGGAAATATTTGCTTACCTCTTCCTCCGGTTTAGTGGCCTGTAATTGCTGTTGACTCTTTAGATGTTGTTTTGGTTATTGTTTGCCCGCTTAATGTGGCTGCATTATTTTCATCTGTTGCCGCACAGCAACGGAAAGCCAACAAAAAAAAAATCAATTTGCACAATAAAATTGATTTTACAACGTGTAAAATTCCACAAATTATGCCCGAAATGCGTTTGATTTTCACTCAGCCACCACACTCGAAAAAAAAAGCCACGAAAAAAAACCGTTGCACGCCTGCGCTTTTCAAATGTTCCCAGCTCGGATCGCAATTTTCATCCGCAGCGTTGGCCCACCGTCGACTTTCACGTTCCAGCGCTCGAAGCAAACTGAGCGGCAGAGCGCCGGAATCAGAGTCAGCGGACGTCGACTGCGACTGCGGCTGCGACTGCGACTGCGGTCCACCGATGAAGCCGCTGATCAGATATGGCGGTCCAGCTTTTTTATAGACCTTTTGAGAGAAAACAATTTGACATAACAAGGTTTGAATAATACTCTTTTTCCTGCGACTAACTGCAAATTATTATTATAAATTTAATCGGATTTAGTTTGGACTTTTATATAAAACAAACTATATTTTACACTTTTTTTTTATATATATACAAAATTATAATCTCAGGCTCCAATGGTTACGTAAGCGTATAATTATATTTTAAGTTATTATTTTATTTCTACATATTAAAAAGGGTATTAACTATTTTATTTTGTACGTTTTCCTAAGTTATTTCTACCTTCAATTTTGGCATACAAAAATTACATTAAAATACATATTTTAATCAATACATTTGTGCCTAATATTTAAGCTGATAAATAGCTCAGGCTTAGTCACCACTGACTGCGGCAAAATCCGATTGGTGATCATTGTCACAGACTGGGATTTATATATTCGTTGGACTTATATTTCGATGCCGCCGCCCAAGTTTTATTTCCTCTAATTTTGTGGTTTTTCGCATATGGGTCGAGTCCATACCTTACATGCATAAGATACACGGTGAAAAATTGTGTTGTAAACATTTTCAAATTGTATGTCCAAGAATATTGCTTAAACAATTTTTTAAAGTATTATATTAGTATATGCAAAACTATTTAAAAAGCTAAATAAGTTGGTCTTATATGATCTTTAATCTTAATGATTTATTTTTCATTTATCTATATAAAAAAATGGTTTGTATAGAAATAAATCTATTAGAAATGGGAGAATTTTTTGTCATTCTCAGGAGAAGGTTTTTAGGAATGGAATTTTTTTAACACCCTAATGAAAAATTAACTTAGACATATAGACTAAGTCAGAATTTCTCAGTGTACCAAATAGACAAATAGATACCCGGCTACCTGTTGCACACTCACACATTCTGGTAATGGCCGTCCGCAAATTGACCCATAAAATTGTAACGTTGCTTGGGCCATGATAGATTAGCCGTCCATATATCATTGCAGATACATTATCTGAGTGGAGTGATGGCCAGTGGAGGGGAGAAGGGGAATCGGCAATCGGCAATCGGCAATCGTATCCGCGAGTGCATAAATAACCATCCGTGGCTGTATGTTTGGAGTATGTTTGGATCGTGTCGATCGAGGCGGCGATCATGTCTCCGATTTGCATGCCAAGCAGCCGGGAACATCGCTGGATTATGCATCCGAGGCATGCGATATCCGATCGGCGATGGCCACAAGGCTATCCCCTCCCTCGGTCATTATCATTAGCTTATTGGTCACGATCGGCCCTAGAACAAACCGAGGAGGCCTCGAAGAACCGAACGCACGGGTCATTTGGGGAATTGCATAAATCAGCCATCGCACAATCGTAATGATCCCAGGGAAATTCCTGCAGCCTCACAACATATTTTCTATAAGAATTTGTTTGGTACTTGCTGGTAAAAAAGAAATTATAAGTATCTCATTACCGAAATAAGATAATTTATATAAATTTAACGACTTGTAAGTAATGAAAAAATAATATTACGTATACAACTTTATAATTTAATTTATTTATGTATATTTAAAACAAATAAAATAAAGGCTTTATCATTTTATTTAAAGCGATTTAGTTGTGAAATAATATTTTTCTGGTTGAATGCACTCTTTAAATTCGACCCTTGCAAGCAAAGTTTAATGACATAAATGAATGAATTCAAAACTTTAGAAATATTAAAATAAATAAAAAATGTTGAATGCTCTCATAACTATTTTATTAAACTGAATAAATATCAACATCCAGTTATAAAATTTAAATCGTGTTCTTAGCTGCTCTTCTTACTAGTTTATTAAACTATAACATTTAATTTGGTTACTTTTTATCCACCTTAATTTCAAAGGTCTTGTAGGTGTATTCCTCAATGGCCTTCAGGTTCTTGATGACGAACTCCTTGATGGCCTGCACATATTCGGCGGCGGCCAGGATGAGCTTCTTGAAGGCCTCGATCACCTTGCCCTCGCCCTGCAGCTGACCCTTATACACCTCCTCCGAGACCTGGGTGATGAATCCCCGGAGTCCCAGTGACTTCGCCTGGGCGAGGGCAAATAGCTCGAAGGCCTCTTTCGGCACTTTGCCACGGATCTCAAAGTCACAGCCCATGATCGGTTCTCCTTTTTTGTCAGTCATTTCGGGTAAATTTAATGTGCCCCAAAAAAAAAAGTGTTTTATTTGCCGCCGAAATGCTCAGTGAACTTGTCGACAAAGTCTCAGCACCCCATGACCCTGACTTTGAACCTCCCAGCTCCGATCGTAATTGCGGCCAATTTACGTGTACCATAATCGCTGGAAGAAATCAGCCACAGCAGGTTACATTCCCAGCAGCAAACAAAAAAAGACTTCCAACAAATTAAGACCTCTTAGAGGCTTAGCAAAAAAGTATTAGTTAAAAATAGTTAAAAAAAAAAAAACAAAAAGGGAGAAAAAAATACACACAGCAAATTAAATTATAAACAAAAGTAAATATAAATCACAAGGCGGTTTCAAGTCTTTGGCGGCATGTGCATCTGTATCTGTATCTTTGTATCTCGGCAGCAACGTATCTTTGCATCTCAGGCCCCGCTAAAAGCGATCTATCTCGACTTTTTTCCTCCTCGGTTCTTCCGCTAAAACAGGCACCTCCGTCCGCCTGCGGTTGTCGGTTTTATATAATTTTTTTCACAGAGTTGTCATGCGGAGGATAAGAAATAATTAGAAATTATATAAATTGCTTAATTATAATAAGCTTGCAGCACGACAACAACACAGTAGCAAGATAACAATTTCCCATTAGCGAAAAGGCAACGAATACAAGACACTCTGTAATAAAACAGACATATACGCAAAACTCTGAAATAAATTCCAGTTTACAAGAGGTTTAAAATGTATATATAGTATTTGCGTAGGTTGATAGTCAAATAGTTGCAGAAATCAAAAGTTTATTTTTAATGATTTTTTAAAAATAATAACAGTTAAAAGGTATAACAGTTAAATGTGGTTGCTTAATGATATTTAGGTTTGATTAAATATCCAAAACAATAACCCAAGAACTTAAGTTTCCGTGTAGGATTTTTTCAAATTTCGATATCCTTTAAGTTTTCAGGTAAATGTAGGATTCAAAATTCTAAAATATTATTTTTTCCATTATGAACATTAATGTCATTTAAAATATATTTATTCATCATATTTTATATATACCGCTTTCGAGGTTTTTGAAAAATGGTCATGGCTTTTTTTTGTTCAAAAATCTACACTAATATTATTGATATTACAACTTGCAACCAAATATTATATAAAAGACACTTCTAGTTGCCCTGATTTTTTTCTGAGAAAGCTGAATCTAGTATGATTTTTTTACTCTGGGACAGTTGCACAAATGGAGATGACACAATAAATGCCAGAGGTGCGATTGCGATGGCTTGCCCCCGAGTCGAGTACCAGATAAAGGTAATGCCCTCCAGTTGGCGATCTCTGGGCATGGGAATGGGAATGGGGATGGGAATGCGGAGGAGTTGACAACCTTTGGAGGGTCGTAATCGGAGTCCACTGGATTTTGCAACAGTTGGCACGTGACGTCAGGCCCGCCAGTCTTTCCCAGAAACTCAGCCCTCAGGCAATTATGGCCCATTATCCCAGGAACGCGGGGGGGAGGGATCGGGCAATTATGGTGATGTAAGACATGGCCAGATGTTGTGAGTTTAGCATATTATAACCACAGATAGCTGGTATGTATGTGTGCATATATATATATATATTTAATGGATTCCTGTAAATAATCTGCGTGCGTATATCTGAGTTTAGCTTAAGACACGTATAAAACTATATATGGAAAGGTCGTACACAAAAAAAAATACATTAACATCTAGAATAGATTCTTGTTTTCTTCACACAAGTTATTCGATTTGCAAAAAAAAATTAAGGCCTTTGGAACGATCTTTACGTCCGGCAGATGCAGAGGGTGTCCAGAAGGAAGACGGCCGCATTGATGATCATCAGGGATCCGGCTCCGATGGCCTGGCGCTTCCTGTCCGGGAACGGGGACCATCCGTGCCACTCATCGATCACCAAAGCTCCGGAGGCCACAAAAAGCAGGCAGCCAATCAGCGAGAACAGGGCATTGAGCCGCTTCTCCACCAGCGAGTTGATCACATGACCTGCAAAATAGGATTCGGGTATGGTTCAGTATGGTTCATTCGACACAATGCAACACAACTCACCGGCGAGCAGAACGCCGCAGATGACCGTGAATCCACCGATGGTGCCTGCCACAATCACCGGACGCGAGGAGAGATTTCCAACCGTCTCGTACAACACAATGCAGGCGATGGCAATTGCCTGGATGGGGTAAATAAAATCATAGAGGATCGTTAGCAGGGTTTACTAGGAAAAATGTTTGAACATTTTGACGTAATTTTTATAGGAGTTACTCAACATTTTATATCTGGCAATTACCATTAACTGAATAACATTTGGAGCACATCTATCCAGCCGCTTTAATTGATCAATTGCTATAAATTATTCCCCACTTTCTACAGACGATGTCATTTTCGAATTTTACTACTTGGTAAATTTAATTGCAAGTTCAAGTATTTCTTCACAAATCGCAGTTTTTTCAATACCTAAAGCTTTCAATACTTTTGTTACGCACTATTCAATGAAAAAGCAAACAATAAGAGTTTCTCTAAAGTCGAATTATTTATTTTCCTTATTTCAAGTCCCATCCCAAGCACATATATTTAAAAAATATTTATTAAAGCCGCAGGTTTTGTTTCTCTAAGTAGTAAAAATGGTTAAAAAAAATAAGAACAAAAAAAATCATTTTCTATTTAAAACGACATATTAAGATAAAATCATAATTAAATTTTTAATATAAAAAAAAAAGATTTTGTTTATCTTTTTTTTAATCGAATATTTTAAGAGCCCAAGACAACGAATATATCGCCCACAAAGATGGCTCCGTGGGCGAAACTCAAGATGCCGGAGACCAGCAGCACTTCCTTCTCCGCCGCCGACTTGCAGTAATCCAGCCACTGGTCCAGGATAATGATACCCGTGGTTACGAACAGGACAAAGCCGCCGATCGAGAAGAGGATATCGAGACGCTTGTCCACAACGGTTCCTTCAACATGTCCTGAAAGATAGCCACCATTTTAACCGGAACCCGAGGATCTAAGGACAAGGATTTACCTGTTGCTATTACAAGGCAGACGATTAGGTAACCAACCAAAGTGCCATAGACCACCATCGCTTGTCTGATAAAGGTCAGATCCGATATGCTCCCGATCAGGACAATGATCGTGACGTTGAAGACCTGGGAGTTAAGGACTCGATACTCAACAAATGAGACACAAATTCACAGACGGACACACTCAAAGATAGATACAAATGGCACACGGACAAAAAGTCAGAAAGATAGAACGATAGATAGTTCTCAACACAGACTTAACAGCTTTCCTGCTCACAAAGCACATTAGATCTAAAGTAGATGTTGTGTATTAAGTTTTTCGAACAATGCAATTACCAAACTTTCATCAATTGTTTCCCAATCCCTCAAACGTAATTAATCCCTTTTGTCTAACACTAAAACACACACTATGTCAAAAAAAACGACCTGATAATTTTATCCGCGGCATGTACTTAATGGATTTTATTTCTGACCATATGCTTCTGTACTCTGTTGTTTTATGTTTTTTACGTATTTGCTAAAACGACCGGAAGTTCTGCCATAAAAGCCCACGAAAAAAAAGCGCCAAAAGCGTTGTCAGCACGAAAATATGATTTATAAATTTCTAACTTTACAAATTACTTCGTATTTTATTTTAATTAACTGTCACAAAAGTTAATGAATCAATAAACGTTTTTACTGAACGATTTACTGAAGCTAAGGCCATAAATACTTGAAGTATTGTTAGTTATTAAAAATAAATATAGAAATGAATGTAATTAAAATAAAAGTAAATGAGTAAATATTTAACACTGTTTTCCCAACAACGAAGTCATAAATAAAACTCGTCATTAAAAATGCCCATCACATCTTGAGCTTCCACAAACCACTCCATATATCACAATAGAAATAGGCGACAAAAGCTGCGGAATTAATTCAAGCACCACTCCCCCATTTGCTTATCAAATATGAAAATTATTTCGATACTGCCGGGCGACAAAATGACAGCGACAGATATGGCTTTTATTGCGATAAATTGACGAGCCATCGAGGGCCAATATCCGACAGTGGGCCATCGCCAAGTGCGACACACCCGTTGGCAATCAATCAATTAGGAGAGAAGACGACCTGGCTAATTGGTTTTGGGGAAAAACTTCCACGCCAGGATGCAGGCCAACCTTGTTGACATTGTAATGCAAGGAGGTTGGTAATAGGTCATTAGGTCATTAGGGTTCCGGAACGGGCAAAATAAAATAAACAAATGCCATATCCATATCCATATACCCATCTTAATGCGTTAGCTATACCCTATATCAGTATGAAGTTCGTTTGGTTTGTGAAATACATATATTGTATATAAATAGATATTGCTGTGGGGGGCCTTCCTGTTCTTCCCCGGCCATTATCGGTGTCAATAATTGCCGAAAGTTGTTGCCATTTACCATTTAGTTACACCCCAATACGTATATAGTTTATGTGCGGTTTTTTATTGTTTAATTGTCACGCCCAGAAATCGGAGATGGGGGGAAAGTGAACCCAAAAATGACATAAACACCCAACTAATCGTGAAATTCGAAGAGCAGAATCGCATTAATGGGGCATATATTTGGGGAGTGGGACCCTATAGATGGCGTTCGTATCCCATTAACAGTGGGAAAATGCTGCTCATTACCATTCGTAATTGTTGAATAGACAGTTTTATGTGTTCCAGGGAAGTCACAAAGCTAAATCTTAAATAGGAAGCCGTGCTGAGCGTTTATTGGTAATATCCACCATTTACTAATTTGTTGTTCAGCAAAAAAGCTTTAAAAAAAACCTAAGAAAGTTTATGATTAATTTCTGTAGAAAACTAGATGCTAGAATTAACGGAAAATCGTTTAAAATAAAAGAGTTATAAAAGAGTTTTCTACAAATGTTGCAATTTGTAAGCCCAATCTTAAAAAAATATATATTTGCTTTTCATTTTTTATTATAATCTTTAATAGCAACACATAGTCGAAAAAACCAGCTTTTGGCCAACTTTTTTTTCCTGCGAATCCGTTCATGGTTAATAATAACTAAATAAAATAAACGTTTTCCTCGAATTATCACAACTATAAAATGCGCTTCCGTATGACTAAGAGTTGTTTACTTGCGATGGCTGGTATTATTAATATATAATATTCCCAACCGAGAAACACCAGTTGATTGCGCCCTGGACTTTGGCAATTGGTATTTTTGTTGCAAATAACTGGGGGAAAACCTAAGCAACGCCCCCAAAAAATACAAAAGTCTAGTTACTGACCAAAAATAGTTGGAAACTGACAAAAATGAACCCAAAAACCCATTTGGTTGTCAAGCTTCGGCAAAGCCGTAGATCAATTTTATTTTCAATTGATATCGTTAGTATGGGCCATTCATTATACCGCCACCTGACATGCCATTGAATTTGGCGGGGATAAAAATGAAGAAAGGGGGGGAAAAAAAAAGCGGGGAATCCGCACACAAATCAATTAAATTCATTTTCAAGAATACGCTGGATAGGAAAAAACAACAAAATAAACAGAAAATGCGCCTTCCCGATTTGCAGTTAAAGCATTTATTAGCCCGTAAAAATATTTACGAGCCAGTTGCCAGAAATTGGAGAGGGGAAAAATGTCGATGGCAAACAATGGGCCATGTTCTTATCTTACGCTTGAGTTCTATTTGCCTTTCAGCTCACACAGCCAGGAGACAAATATTTGAGAAGTGGTTATTATTTGCCCATTGATTTTCACTTTTAACCAAAAATAATAAAGTAATAACACGAACAATAGCAACGCTTGGTCAGATAATCAAGGAACAGCCAGTGCCCAATTAGCCATTCTGTTAGCGCTCCATTGTTTACTCAATGCAACCGACCTTTAGGGGATCGCACATGGCGTATGCGTAATGCGTGCCAGATTTTCAGTTTTTTTTTTTGGCCATGTGCACGATGATGTCATCGTGTTAGCTGCTGTTTTTGGCTGCACCGGGAAAAATAGAGTCTCTTTCTGGACCGGATGTTTATTATGTTTTAAAATATAACACTTATTTAAATGCGATTTTACTAAAAATAACTTTTAATAATGCAAGCATTATTTTCGTAGATGATAAAAGAGTATTCTTGATTTATATATATAATTTTAATATATATATTATAATTTTAATAATTGGTTCTCATTTTAGAACAAATTTTTAGATAAATTAGATGTCCTTAAAATGTTAGCTAGCTTAATTTGTTTCGTTTTCTGGTATTTAAGCTAAATTACATGACCTCAAGGTGCATCCCAATACAGTTCAGTGTGATGATTTTCCAACCTAATCCCGATTAGTAAGTGAATGAATCGGCGAACGTGATTGCACGCCCGTCCCATAAAGAGGGTGTGGCGGATTGGACCGGACGGGCGGACCTGATCCGCATTTCAATATGTATATATATGTTGACCGAGTGCCCGGCAAGTGGGTCGCATTGCAGTGATGTAAGCATCGGAATAATTCGCAGTTGACTCATTTGCCGGGAGCTGAGCTTCAAGATCAGGCAAATTCATATATGGTGCTCATTATATATATATATATGGTGCTCTTATATATATATATTTAAATATAAAGAAAAAACACCATGAAACTCGAGAGTAAAAGAGGAAAATGAGGCTATTATATGCTGATAAGGGAATTTATGAAAACAACAATACTTCTTATAAATTAAGAAAGAAAATATCAAAAGACATTAATATTCTTAAAGGAAATTAAAGGAAAGGGAAATCTTGTGAAATCAATGTTAAGCTAGGATGCAATTTTTCACCAATTTCTCGGCTCAGATTATGACTGATCGTTGTGCTGTTAACGAATAATGTAAACAAGCCCCAGTTGACTCATCAATGCAAATAAATATTTGCATTTAGATTATTCTCCACTGACTATATTAAAAGAGTTTTGTGTCACAACTTGTATACCATATATACAAATATTAAAACAAGATTTGTCGTACGGTTAACAACTGAATGTGAAATATATAATTAGATAACCCAATCAGAAATAAATATACACATTTTCGGGGAATTCGATTAATTAACGCAGAAAGACAACATTATAGATTATAATAAATAATGACAAATCGCTTAATATATTTTAGATAAAATTTGGAGCTTTCAGACCAAATGTCATTGCAAAAACAAAAGTTGTTCCGAGTGGCTTTTTATTTTTATATATAGTATTTCAGCATTATCTACTGATTTGCTCTCTTTCGAGCTCACAATATCGCCGCAATGATTTCATATGTGCTTGGTCCAAAAATAAAACCTGGATCATTGCGCCTAAGTGGGACACAAAAATAATAAACTGGCAACTAACATACTAACATACATATACTTTTGATAATTTTGTCATGAAACTAACTTTTACAATTTTCAAGGCAATTACCTTTAGTAAAACCCACCTGGCAAATGGGAAATAAAGGCCAGTTGGACAAAACAAAATGCGATTGAAAAGAATGATCTAATGTCGGCATCAAGTTGGGCTACAGTTGGCTTTTTAGCATGTATTAGGCCGTTGGGAACCCCGAAAAAAAGAATTCAGTAGGGGAGAGATGTTATGACATCATTGAGTCGGGAGCACGCATTAATTCAAGACCTTCGCACCAACAAGAAATTCAAAAACAGAGTACCAGAAACCATGAAGTCATAGTGCTTTGTTTTGGTAAAAAAAAACCGGTTTGCCTTTTTTCCAGACCGGGTATGAAAAACAACAATAACTCCAGAGACGCAACAGGAAATGGAATAAATTCGGGGAAGACGAAAGGAAGACGTTTATGTACAAAAAATAAATAATTGGAATACAGTCAGCACTTTCAACTCGAAGCTGCAGCTGCCTCATATAAAATTTGACTTTTATCCAATGTTTATTGAAATTTAACAGATACATTTTTGGTAAGATGTTTAAAACCAACTTTTGACTCTACCATCTCTAATAAAATATTTTATTGCTATTATTTTTTATTTTTGCCATTTAAGTATAAATTATAACAAGCAATTTATTAGTTTAAAATAGCTCAAGTAAATTTGTAAATTATTATAATAAAAAAACTCACATTGCCAGCTATAAAAAAATGTAATAGAAAAAATGACAAACATTTATTTTATGAAAGAATTGGAATTCAAAATGATTTAATTAAATTTTTGTTGTTTAAATGCTAGGTTGAAATGCGTTTTTTATATTCAAATAAAATATGTATTATTATTCGGCAGTTAAACAAAATACCATTTATAAGTATTTTATACGGCACAGAATGTGTTATTTTCAAATTTAAACCAAAATTCAGATTTGCATTCATATTTATGAAGCAATTTCTATATTTAAAGACAAATTTTTAATTAAATTACTCACCAGCTCAATGATTTTCAGCAACAGGCGATTGTTGAACTCCATGGCAGTCGATTGAGATTTCGCTTTCGTTGGCTCTTATTTGGAGGGATTGGATCAGATCGTATAAGCCGATTATATGGGACCTGTTGCGTGTTGATTCCACGACGTACGTAAGTTAACTGAAATGGTCAGCCACTGCTTAAAGCAGTCCGGTCACTGTCGAATTTGTTCGACGAACATGTTCGGTTCGACAAAATGTTCGTCGTTGGTGGTCGTGTTCGCATCCAAATTTTGTGTTCAACGTTTCATATGGACGACACGAGATCATTAACTGCCAGACTGCACCAGGCAAAATAAAAAGCCTTAAAACAAAAACAAAAATATGCGACTAGCCGTCATTAAAAATAGATAGATTAAATAAATAGTCATCAAGGCAACTACTGTTTTACTTTCATCCGCTGACATGATCCCTCTAAAAATGTTCTACAAATGAAGTTCGCAAGCAATGTTAGCACTAGTTGGTTGCAAATGTTGTTCTTCTTCGTCGAACAATTCGTTAACCAAGGTCTAAAGTTAATAAGTTTAATTAAAAAAAACTTAAGCTTTAGCCTCAGATTCAGACCTCTATCGTTCTCAAATAAAATTTCAGCGATTCCATCTCTTACAATTTATATATTCACAACTTAATTTTTTACAACAAATTTTTATAAATTCTTAAAATAGAATCTATTAACTTTAGACGGGGTAGAGGATTGACTTAGGAAGTAAATAAGAAAACAGAAAATAAACTAGAATATCTTTTAACCAACTAAAGAAGCGCCCACATAGGCCAGAGCCCGCTCCGCCTCAAAAGCGGCGACGTATTGGGGTTCTAGGGTGGTGAGGGCGCGCTGTGTGAGCAGGGAGATGTTCTTCGTCTCGCCGTGATCCCGCTCAAAGGCGAGGTACTCCACCCAAACGCGTGGCTCTGTCTTGCCAAAATAGCAGGCCATGAAGTCGTAGCACATGCGCCAGTACTTGAGGCTAGCTTGATCCTGCGGTAGAGTAAGTAAATGACTTGGTTAAGTATCTATTGATTACTAACAAGTAACGAAAAGAAAAACTTACGTGAACCGCTACACTAGACTCCAGCTGGACCATCTGGCGATGCAGGGCCAGCGACATGGGCGGCTGGACGGCCAGCTTGGCGTACTCCTTGCGAGCCTCCTCCACGGATCGCTCCTGCCACAGATAACGTAGGTAATCGGATCGCAGCTCGCCAAACTCCGGCCACGCGGACTTGCAGGCGAGGCCGTAGATCTCGTCCAGCCTCCGGGCGCCCAAGCTGTCCTGCCTGGTGCGATAATACAGAATAACACTGCGCCACAGCAGCAGCGCCTCACTGCCCATGCTCTTCTGGACCTTGTTGAATAACTCATAGATCAATGGCTCACTATCGCTTTGGATGTGCGTAACCAGCAGGAGTTCATGCATCTCCACGGAGGAGTCGCTCTTCAGTGCCTCTGTGAGAATGGTGACCGCAGCCTCCCGTCCACTGGGAGCAGTGCAGAGCATCTTCCTCAGCGTGGAATAGTGTTTCACACCCATCAACTGAGAGCGATGACCCGCTTGTAGAGCATCCGCCAGGCACTGCTGCTTAAGAATACGCTCAGTCTTTCCATCGCTATTTAAGGCCAACATCGCATCCAAATAAAGGTTCCACATCTCCGGCGTTTGCAGCTCCTCCACCGCAGATTTGTAGACCGTGACGCATAGCTGAATGCGTCGCTTGAGAGAGCGGGCATTAACAGTGCGGGATTTTTTGCTGGCCGGCTCATCATCGCTAGTGTCCAGCTCATCCTCCTCCAGGTCGCCCAGGTGAAAACCGCGCAGCTCCCGCTGGGCAAGCAGGTCCCACAGGCCCGGCTCCCTGGGAAACTTCTCCTGCATATCATCGATTATTAGGCGCTGCAGCTTGCCTGTCAGTTCCTGATGATCTTCACAGCTCTCTAGGAGCTTCACGAAATAGTCCAGATGGGTGATATTGGCCATACTATTGCGGTAGACTGCTTCAACGCGTTCCAGTTTAATATCCTGCTCGGAGAGCGTGTTTTCGGCTAGATTACGTTCGTCGTTGGCTAAAGAAGCCTCTTGAAGCATAATATCAAAGAAGCATTTGTTGAGGGTCTCTGAAGCCGGATGTCGCTGAAGGCCGCGCAGCAGGATGTCCTTAACACGATCAATATTGAGGCGATTGTACTCGTACAACCACAAGGCGGCGTCCACCCAAAAGTCCGGCATGTCGCCATGGTACTAAGGTTTGGGTAAGAATTAAAAATTGTGAAAGTGAGCAGACCGGAATATACCCACCAGCAGCATCTTTTCGTAGATGCCTGCCACCTCCACCGGATTGGACTTCTTGCTGAACTTGATCCAGTTGCTCCACAGCCGCCTGTCGTGGTTAAACTTTCCCAGAGCCTCCCTGTACAGGCGCATGATCCGAGTTGCTATGGAGGCCTTTAACCCGGTCAGCTTCACGTGCATCTTCTTCTCCTTCTCCACGATAGTCAGGTGCATTTGTTTCTCGTACAGTATGAACTCCAGGTAGTCACTTATGGTCAGGTGGCTCTTGGTGATCTTCAGAAAGAGTCGTTCGCGCCGGCTAACGATTTCTCTGCAAAAATAATGAATAAGTTGGAAGCTTACACTCCAAAATTAAGTGCACCACTCACCTGACTTGATCCGCCGTGAATACATTGTAGTTCTTCATCTGCTCGTACTCCGGCAGCAGGCGCTCCTGCATCTCAGCTATGAACTCACCCATTGTTGCTCAGTTTCTACTAATTAGTTTATAATGATATTGTTTATTTCTTTAAAAACAAGCGCACGTGCAACGCAAACGTCTGATTATCGATTGTAAGGCTGGTCAGTTATCGATAACACAAAGGGATGGCAATAAATAATTTGTATTGCTTTTAGAAAATTATGAATCGTTTTTCTCAAGTGTGAGCTGAAAAATAAATACATTTTAATCAGCAATTCATTTATTTAATTATTAAGTAGTACAATTTAATGTTAACCAATCAAATCAGAGAACTAATGATTTCTAATCATAATAGAGAAATGAAAAAAATTATACGCCGGCATCAAACTTTAAATTCCACTGAGCATTCATTTGTTTTCATTTTTATATACTTTTATTTTAATTATATTTTATATTATTATATTTTACATATTTTACCTGCAAAATGCACCTGTCATCGCTAGCGATATTTGCCGATTGTTGGGAGGAAGGAGTTGCGCATCTCCAACTCTTCTTCTTTCACCTACAAATCGCACCAAATTTTTTGTAACGCCGAGAAAAACAATAAATACACATTTCAAACGATAAAGTAAACGGATCTAACAATGGCCGAATTCTCAGTGGAACGCGTGGAGGACAAGCGAACGGTGAACGGACGCACGGAATACTACCTGAAGTGGAAAGGCTATCCGCGGAGCGAGAACACTTGGGAGCCGGTGGAGAACCTCGACTGTCCGGATTTAATCGCCAACTTTGAGGAATCGCTGAAGAACAACAAGAAGGAGACCAAGAAGCGCCTGTCCACCTCCTCCACGCCAGACTCCATCCGCAGCAAGCGCAAGAGCTTCCTGGAGGACGATACCGAGGAGCAGAAGAAGCTAATTGGCTTCGAGCGCGGTCTAGAGCCATCGAAGATCCTGGGCGCCACCGACTCCTCAGGCCACCTGATGTTCCTGATGAAGTGGAAAGGCAGCGACCATGCAGACCTGGTGCCGGCCAAGCTGGCCAATATGCGATGTCCCCAGGTGGTAATCCAGTTCTACGAGGAGCGCCTTACCTGGCACACGGGCAGTGGCAATGGCAATGGCAACGGCAGCTCCGGCAATCTTACGTCGGGCGGCCTGGGCTCCGGTGGAGGCAGTGGCGCCGGCGACGACACTGCTCCTGGCAGCGTGGGTACCACCGGCGGCGGTAGCAATGCCGAGGGCGTTGACGAGGAGGATCCGGAGCAGGAACCGGCCAGCCCCATTGGCAGCATCAACCAGGACGAGAACGCTAAGCCGGAGGAGAGCAGCGAGTTGGACAACGGCCAACTGGATGCCGATGACTAGTTGGGAGGGCGAGGTCTCCAACTTCGACTCCAGATGGCTGTTTCGGATTTGCCCGCTTGTGTGGATACATACACGCCGTCTCTACAAACATACGATATATACATATTTGGTAGCGTAGCCCTTAAGATCGATTTACTAAAGCTCTGAGGGAGCTCAAATTCGCGGTAGTACATATAAAATGTGACTTTTTTTTATCTCCATATTTTAGTTTTAAAGTCCCATGAAAGTTTTAGGACCATAAATCGCAGTGTAAAATACAATTGTCCTTGCGTACATGTGTCCGTGAGTGTATGTTGAAAAGGACGAATAGGGACCGGCCACAAGACTCCCCATAAAGCAGCTAGAGTTAGGGATCCCGACCATCCCGTAAACTAAGTTTTGACCACTGTAAAGTAATAAAGTTTGCACATTCTCAAACGGACATTGTCAATCTTTCCCTGAGGAACCAAAAGACGCCAGCGGCGCAACCCACCTGGATACTTAATGGCCAGGTGTTTAGCTATTTTTATAAAAGGTTTCTTTTATATTTATTTGTTATTTTTTTCAGCCTATGAAAAGCATTTAAAAACGTAGATTTTTAAGAATCAAAGTATTTGTATGAATAAAAAATGAATGCGTCAAAACTGGTACAAAACTCAAAAAAAAATGGTTAATACATACATATTTAGCCAGTTGTTCGCTCTCAGAAAAAGTTCACGTACTCGAGGGCTTACCCCTTAAAAATGCAATATGTTATATTTAATTTTAAATAAAGAAAAGAAAATTCCAAATGATGTTAGCCATTATATTACTTGGAAACCCCAAAATAAACATAAAAATAGTAGCTCTTTTCCGCTCATCTCTTCGACATCGATAGCAGACGGCAATCGATAGACCTTCGATAGACACCGGCAAAGTGTAAACTACAAACCAAACTCCTTTGATATTGTCAATATTTGATGTAAAGGCGCAGTGGACGAGTCCTAGCGTGGAAAGATGGCCCAAACGAGCTCCATGAAGCTGCTGGGCGCTCGCAACATGTCCTGCATTGTGGAGCGCATGGAGTGGAATAACAAGATGGATCTGATTGCCTACGGAACGGAGAAGGGTGAGCATCTGCATCTGGGCCAGCAATATAAATAGAGTCTTACAACTGCTTTCCGTTGCCCAGGCGAGGTGGTCATCCAGCGACTGAACTGGCAGAAGATCGTTACCTTTCCCACGCCTGGCGAGGACGTGCGGGTGCGCTCCCTAAGCTGGCAAATGGACGAGACACTCCTAGCCGTCGGCTACAGCAACGGAAAGGTGGCGCTATTGGACGCGGAGAGTGAGACGATCATCTCAGGCCTGATTTACGAGGATGACATCAAGAAGGTCTTCTTCAGCAAGGCGATCAACTCGCAGGAGAACCTAGGTAGGGAGAAATTGCATTACAAAATAGCCCTGAATTCGGATTCTGTAACTTGAACCGGTTTCCAATTCGAAACCTTATATATTTATTGCATACCAAGCTGATTTTTTAAATTATAAGATATATGTCTGATTTACTGATCAAAAAGTTACATTACATTCCAGGTACCTACACCTGCAATGCGAAGGACAAGCACAGAAAGTACCTTCCCAAACTTCAGCCACTGACCAATATTGATCCCTGCCTGAAAACACTGGACCAGAAGTCTTTTCCGAAGGGATCGCCTTGCTTTCTGGTGGTGATAATGCGCAGTGGCAAGGTGCACCTCCTGCTCCTCGGTGCCCTGCAGGCGGGAAGCATTGATCTCACCCAGCACATCTTACATCCTGAGCAGTTCGATGTGTATGATGTGCGGCTGAACGGAGACTTTAATGCCATTTATGCTCTTTTGAGGGACGGCCAGGAGTTAAAGATGTTGCACTTTCACAATCAGGTGCTGCAAGAGTGCATGGCACCGATGCTGGAACTGGCCACCCATTGTGCCCACATTCTGGAAACGAAAAAGTAATAATATCTTTCATTAAAGTATTGTTGTGATCCGTTTTGTTTTACGCATAGCTACATAAATGACACGCAGCAATGTTTGACAGAAGCCTGGGAGACCGTGCAGCTGGAGATGGATAACAAGCTGACCAAGTACGCCAACTCCCAGCCATACGGACTGATTTCTGCTCACTTCCTGGAGCTGCACGTATTCGGATTCGCTACCTTTGAGGTAGAGGAGTTTCTGTTCGAGTGAGTTGCCCACTTATTGGATGAACCCAATGCTCATGAGTCCTCCCAAATTTAGAACTCTGTCCGAGAAGGGCTTTAAGAAGATTGCCAACTCGGTGGACCTCAGTCTGAGCAACCTACAGGGCTTGGTGTTCAAGCAGCTAAACGGATCGGCCATCAACATGTTCTATTTCCTCAACACGATCGCGGGTTTCGGTCGCATGTCGCACTTTTTCGAGGTTTGTTTTGGATCCGTTCGTGAATTTTCAATGCCTTTATTATCATTGACTTGTTTTTCAGTCGCTCATCTCTCCTGATGTGGCCAACGAGGCTATGAGGGCATGTGGAGCCTTTGTTCTGAAAGTCTACGAATTGCAGCGAACGATCGACACTTTGGTGTACGACATGAAGCTCTTCCACGCCTGGATGATATTCACGATACTCCGCCTGTCCCATCAGGAGATTCCCGATGATCTAGTGCTTACCGAGGAGGAGAACATTGCAATGGCCGACTTCCTGTGCGCCATGGAACCTGAAATGGAAGATCGCAGCGACGATGAAGACGAAGTAGACCCCCTTTCCGCCACGCCCCCACCGGCTCGCAGTAAATTCAACTTGGAGCGAGTGGGTCAGTATCTGGACAATGCGTACTTGACCCAGCCGTGCCCCAAGGATCCCAGCCAGGTGTGGGAGGAGATGGTGGCCGAGAACGATTGCCTTAGTCACTGCAAGTTGTTTGTGCCTCACGACAAAAATCTGTCCCTCGTCCAGCAGCGCGACAAGATGTTCAATGCAATCGACGCGGTGTTCCACAAACCAACGGAGAGCATTAGCGGTAGTTTTAAGCTTGCCTCGGCCGTCATATGCGGTGACCTGCCGCCCATGGAGCCCGGCGAAGGGTTGGAGGATCGGGAATTTGTGACCTGCAGCTACTATGTCAATGAAGCAGCTAGGAGTGATATGCTGGCGTGCACCATCAGCTGGCAGGAGGCCATGATCCTGGAGGTTAGTCGAGCGGGCGATTGTCTTGTGCGCTGCACTAGGATACAACTGCAACCGGGAATCTTCACGTCACCCGTTCACGAGGACTACTACAACCTGCGCTTTGTCGACCTTCAGTTCTACAATGAGTCGTCGCTTTCAATGCTGGCCCAGACAACGACATCAAATCCCGGCGTCCGTCCGCATAGTTACTTTGTACAGTTCTCACTGAGTGCGGCGAGGAATCAGTGCACCCAGCACCAAATGGGTCCGCTGGTGAAGCTTAAGGATGCCACTGTGACGCACAGCATCCATGACATAATCGATGGAGCCGCCTTCAAAGGATTGGACGGGGTGTGCGAGATGCTAGCCGTGTCAGGCAGCAGAAAAGTAGCCACCGTTCTCTCCGATCGCAAACGCAAGATGACCATATTCGAGATGGAAATCGAGGAGGAAGAGGACGATACCGAAATGTCGCAGGCCTCGTTCCTGGAGATCAGCAAGGAATCTGTCCTGGCCGGCGTCGCTGATTCCGAGAAACCAGATGCGTAGTTTCAAAAGCTTCTCGTTATTACCATGATTGTTGAGTATTGCGGCTTTTTGTCTTGCATCTATAAAATTAAAATTCATTACAATGTATTTAGCGTGTGATAATTTAAGATCGTGGAACTTAAATTATTTTAATAATAAAACATTTAAGAAATCTCAACGAAAGTGGTCGATTTTTAATATGTTAAACAATTTTCGCTATGATTTATAAGACCTTTTTATTTATCCAAACAAAGACACCCCCTTCAAGATTTAAAGTTTATGGACGTTAGATAATTGAGATATATATTCGAAGGGTATAAAAATATCGATAGCTCACCGAATTATCGTCAATAAGTAAATTGCTGACTGTCATCCCTAATAGCGTGTTCACGAGAACACAAAATAATATAGTATAATTTTAAATAATATGAAAAATATTAAAAGAAAAACAAATCCAAAACCAGTCCCTGCCCCCATGGAAGTGGAGGAGAGTGAACCGGAGGATGCGCCAGCAGATGAGCCACATAATAGCGCCGGGGAGCCAAATCCCTCAGATGACGACGATGAAATGGACCTGGCCAGCTTCAAAGTCAGCTCCAGTTCCTCTGTCCCCACCAAGAAACGCAAAAAGGGCATCATCTACATATCCAATATTCCCCAACACATGAACGTGACGCGCCTGCGGGAAATCCTGGGGGAGTTCGGAACCATCGGAAGGGTTTATCTGCAACCGGAGAAGCTGTCAAGTGAGTTGAACAAATGGAATGTGTTAGAAAGCCTGAATCTGTGAGGTATTAACTGTCTTGAAGACCCGTTGAAACTCAGCAGGTTCACAAAGCTTAAATACAACAAGAATACAAATTTAGTTATACTTCTTACAACATGTGATTTAATCCACAACTAACCCTCAGGTGCCAAGGCCAAGAAGAACAAGCGGAAGCGTTACAACATCCACTTCACCGAGGGCTGGGTGGAGTTCGAGTCGAAGCGGGTGGCCAAGCAGATCGTTCCCCTGCTGAACAACAAGCAGATCTCCACGCGGAAGAAGTCGCAGTTCTACGACTCGCTGTGGGCAATGAAGTACCTGCCCCGGTTCAAGTGGGTGCACCTCACCGAACGGATGAACTACGAGCAGGCGGTGCACAAGCAACGGCTCCACACAGAGGTCTCGCAGGCCCGCAAGGAGACCACCTTCTTCCAGAACAATCTCGACAAGAGCGAGTTCCTCAAGAAACAGGCTAAGAAGGCCAAAAAAGCCGAAAAGCAGGCTGCCAATGGCGATAGTGCGGCTTGAGCCCTCGATGGACTGTAGTTTCTATGTTTACCTGATTGGAAATACACTTAACTTAAGCATATACATTCTGGACTTTTTTTCAAGAGCGGGTAACATTTAAACGGTTTTTATAAATGGGTTTACTTGCCGTTCTTCGATCTTTCAAATTTCCCGCTTGTTCAGATTTCGATAGATACAAAGCTATCGTTTGGTGGTAGTTGGCGGCGAAATCGTTTGGTGGTGGTTGGCGGCGAAATCATCACAGTTTGTTAAATATTATTGGTCTGTTAAATGTCTTTATACTGCAACTATAATTAAATATCTGTTAGAAAGTTCTGAATAAAATAACAAATAATTTAATAAACAAAACTAATTATTGGTATTTCTGATAGAAAAGTATGTTTAGTATATTCCCTGAAAATGAGAATCATTTTTATTGAGAGCCGGTCACATTGTATTCCACCATTTTCTTTGTCGCTTTGTTGCGCCCGTGTGGTATTCGAAAATTCTGTGATCAAAAACCGACTAATTACGCATAGAAAATGGTAAATTATAAACGAACAATTAAGTTTTTCGCATGGTTTACGGTGTGGACGAGCGGTGTGGAGTGAATTCGGAGAGTTTTCATTGATAATTCCGGGCAAATCGTCGTTTTCATTTGCCGGGTGTGTGAGGCACAAGCCATTTTGACAGGCGGCTTTGCACGTGAGCTGCGGATTCCGATTTCGATTTGGGTTTCCAGAAGGTTCTCCTTCCGATTCGGTGATCCTAATGCTGCCTACACATTTCTTCTGAGGATCGGACCGAGGAACCCTCGGAGAACCTTCCAGATCAATCCATGCCGTTTTTGCTTCCGATGATTCACTCGGCGCCGCTCTCTCGCCTTCCATTTTTGGGGGTTAGGTCGAGCCGATATGACTGCACGGAGAGAAAAACATAACAACATATAGATTCTATATATTTTTGGACCCCTCAGCCATCTGGTTCGTCGTCCTTTCAAATTTGGCCGTTTTACCAGGCAATCTTTGTCAGAAATCGCAGCATATTGGTCGCCATATGAATATGACAATGCAATCTTGTTCTACTATATTCATATACAGTTTTTTAAAATGATATGTTGACATTTACCAGATGGAGGTGTTTTCAACTTGTGAATTTTAAGAAATTTATTGTCCTTTAAAAAAATTATATTTTTCAACTGCTAACTGATGTCGGCATTCTGTTCCAAATAAATTCAATTTTTAATCATACTTTGTAATAAAATTCATATTAAAATCGAACTGGTTGTGGATGAAAACACATTCCGTAAAGTTTAGCTTAAAGCTTAAATTGTATTTATAAAAGTATTTGGTTCCTAGGATTAAAACTCTAGAAAAATCTTTAGCTAGGATCATTTCGGTGATCAAGTATAATTGAATTTCTATTATATCTGGTTATCCAGGATTTTCATATATATTTGAAACTCCATAATGTTCTTTGTGGACTTCGGTGACTAAACTGTAATTACATATCTAGAAAGTGCGATCATATTAAAATTTGTATTTCTGTGAATAAGTGTAAATGGATCTACAAATGCATAGGCTTTTAAATAGACTGGAAACCGTAACCTCAAGCTTTTTTAAAGGGGGTAAAAGCTATCTCACTTATTTTGCCCGCGTTTTTATTGCAGGAGATGTCCTTGAATCCCGTGCGCGTGCTCAAGAATGAGGCGCAGGAGGAGAAGGCCGAGATGGCCCGCCTGTCCTCGTTCATTGGCGCCATCGCTATCGGAGATCTGGTGAAGAGCACCCTTGGCCCCAAGGGCATGGACAAGATCCTGGTGGCCACCGGCCGCAATGCCGGCCAGGTAGAGGTGACCAACGATGGTGCCACCATTCTGCGTGCCGTCGGTGTCGACAATCCGGCCGCCAAGATCCTGGTCGACATGTCGCGTGTCCAGGACGAAGAGGTGGGCGATGGCACCACCTCGGTCACTGTTCTGGCCTCAGAGCTGCTGCGCGAGGCCGAGAAACTAGTCGAACAGAAGCTTCACCCACAGATCATCGTCTCCGGCTGGCGCCAGGCCACCCATGTGGCTCTAGAGGCGCTCACCGCCGCCGCCCAGGACAACTCGTCCAGCGACGAGAAGTTCCGCAACGATCTGCTCAATATTGCCCGCACCACGCTCTCCTCGAAGATCCTGCACCAGCACAAGGACTTCTTCGCCAATCTGGCCGTGGATGCGGTCATGCGTCTGAAGGGCTCCGGCGAGCTCAAGTCCATACAGATCATCAAGAAGTCGGGCGGCACACTGTCAGACTCCTTCCTGGACGAGGGCTTCCTGCTGGACAAGAAGCCGGGTGTACACCAGCCACAGCGTGTAAGTGCCTGTTTAGTTTGTTCGGGCTACAGTTATAGATTTTAGATTCATCCTTCAGCTTTGCTGTCTATTAACGCGTCAAAATGACTGTGAGCTATGTGGATTTGACTTCATATCACAGCCATTTTGACGAGTTTGTTGGGCAGGCACATCATCGGGGACGTTAAGAGTCCAATCCAAGTGAATTTTCAAGACCTAATCCCAGATCAATTCCTCATACAAATCCCTGGTTTTTCTTACCGCAGATTGAGAATGCCAAAATCCTGATTGCCAACACTCCCATGGACACCGACAAGATCAAGGTGTTCGGCAGCAGCATCAAGGTCGATTCGCTGGCAAAGATCGCCGACCTGGAAATGGCCGAGAAGGAGAAAATGAAGGAAAAGGTGGACAAGATCCTGAAGCACCAGTGTAACGTGTTTATCAACCGACAGCTGATCTACAACTATCCGGAGCAGCTGTTCGCCGATGCCCAGGTGATGTCCATCGAGCATGCCGATTTCGATGGTATCGAGCGTTTGGCTTACTGCACCGGCGGCGAAATCGTCTCCACCTTCGAGAATCCCTCGCTGGTGAAGTTGGGCGAGTGCGATCTCATCGAGCAGGTGATGATCGGCGAGGACACTCTGCTGCGTTTCAGCGGCGTGAAGCTGGGCGAGGCGTGCACCATCGTGATCCGCGGCGCCACCCAACAGATCCTGGACGAGGCTGATCGCTCCCTGCACGATGCCCTGTGCGTCCTGGCGGCTACCGTCAAGGAGTCGCGCATCATCTTTGGTGGTGGCTGCTCGGAGGCGCTGATGGCCAACGCCGTGCTGAAGAAGGCTGCCGAGACAGCCGGCAAGGAGGCCATCGCCATCGAGGCCTTTGCCCGTGAGTTTACTTTACTTGCTGCTTGTTGAGCCCTTATATTGAATCCCTATCTAATCCGGATTACAGGTGCCCTGCTGTCGCTGCCCACGGCCATTGCCGACAACGCTGGCTACGATTCCGCACAGCTCATCTCGGAGCTGCGCGCCGGCCACGCCCAGGGCAAACAGACTCTGGGTCTGGACATGGAGCTGGGCAAGGTGGCCGACGTTCGCGAGCTGGGCATCACCGAGTCCTTCGCCGTGAAGCGCCAGGTCTTGATGTCCGCCTCCGAGGCTGCCGAGATGATCCTCCGCGTGGACAACATCATCCGGTGCGCTCCACGCCGACGCGTTCCCGACAGGGGCTACTGCTAGGCGCTTAAGTATTCTCGTTCTAGGATCCTATTTTTTTTAATTATGAACTCTCGTTTAACATCATCGCTAATCTTATACGTTTTGTTTACACTAATAATCCACACACCACACATTAGCATTTATATTGCACACCCAGAAACACACAGTATCGCACACTTTCTCGCTAAATTTGTCCCTTTCGTGTAATTCTTTCACTTAATTGTTAAACAAATTGATATGTTGCAAGCCGAGCTTTTGATTCGATGAGTGGATGGGTGCGATCAAACAAAAACATTTCAAAAATGTCTAAAACACCATCAAACCAACAAAT